AAATCATTTATGTATATAAATTTAACTACGTATTTTATATATATTTAAATCCTAAATGCATGTTCAATATTTCTTCCTTTTATAAAACACAAGATGTTAAATTTCTTATTTAAATGCCAGATGGCACTGCATTCATTAACTATTAAATTGTTAAAGAGCTCTCTTGAAATCTATTTCAAGCTGTTTAATATTCAGTTTTGTTACTAGCAAACAGCTGTGAGTAACACTGATGCTCCACCTACCTTAACTCTAAATATTACTTGTCAGGCTGAACAGAGATAAGGAGGTGAAAATTTAATATATATTAACTATATATAAATTACAGATTAGAATAGGCCCTATGAAGAGTTCTCATCCTGTGCATTTGTAAGACAAGCTTCTCCCTCACTTTTGTTTTATCTTTTTTTATCACTTTTTTTAGTTATATGTCTGTATTTTAAGCCGCCATTATTATGCTATACCTTAAAAAAGTGCTGTAGAGTCTTGCCCCACGCAGCTTCTTCCATGCTGTAGGCTATAATCTATATGTGCAACCTTCTCATAAAGACAGACAAAGCACAGACAAGGTCTGGCCCCAGAATCCATGACCGAAAATGAGCACGTTGTTCTGATCTCCATCTCCATCAGGTGTGTCACTCAACTTTAAAGACCTTCTACTCTCCAGATACTCTTAGTCAGGATGATATAAAAAAATCTGGAGTTTAGAAGTTACTGAAAACTTACAAATCTCCAGAATTAACAAAAAGTCACCATGCTCAGTGACTCTGTATCCCTGACAACATCTCTGGATATCTCTATTTCCATGACTCTTGAAATACATATGTTGGCATGTCTAGGACACCTTTCTGCAAGACAATACTCTTAACTGCAGTAGCATTTGCTCTATTATGTTCATTACCTTCATTTTCACCATGAAATGCATATTTCACCATTCTGGCTGCAGATGTTAGGAGGAAAATATCTCTTATTACCTGGCAATTCTCTCTCAGTAGCAAGGTCCACAGATCCTTTCAGCCTTGCAAGCCAAGCTTGCCGCTTGGGGGTAAACCAGACTCATCAGGCACTGGAATCAGAAGCTGCCATCTAAAGAAAGTCACCCCTTCCCATGTGTAAAGCTTCTAAAGCCAAAACAAAACCAGTTAATTTTTTGCACGACAAGTACAGTCCCCTGACTGGGAGGAGAGGTAGGGAAATCATGAGGATACTAAATATCACGGGTGTAACATCCTTTGCTCAGTCTTAGGACTCAGAGATGGTACCCAAAGACACCATCTGTAAGTTCCGGGGTAGGAGGAAGATTTTGACCACAGCGGAAAGATTTTTATTATTTCTTGTGCCATGCTAGGGTCCAGAGAGGTAATCCTAGGGGAATTCCATAGCTGATTGCCTGACAGTGAGGAACAATCTCATGCTTTAAACCTTAACACCCAAAACACAAGAAATTCTTACTTTCTTTTTCACACTGAGGCACTGAAAAAAAACGGATGAAAACTAAAGATTGGGTAAAGGCTGGATTTGTTGGTATGCTGGTGGACAGCAAGACCTAAATGATAACTTACAGCACAGCAGTCCAGCTACGTGTTTTGCCTTAGCTAAGTTCCACTTGTTGAATTTCTTGCCCACATAGTTTGGCAAATAAGTGCCCTGTTCAACTCCGTATTTCACTGAAAGAATTGATTTTTGTCTACAGCAGGTTCCATGTGAAACACACACCTGAAAGGCCAATGCTAGATAAAACAGAAACCTTTGGAAAAGGTTTCCAAAGAAAAAACTTGGACTTCATTCAAGCCTAAGAGCTACAACAAACCCCAAAACAAAGTAAAAACAACAGTAAAAGAAAAACATGCCATGCTATTCTGACATGACTTTTCCTTCACTCTTTCCAGATCTTCAACCATCAGAACCACCCAATTCCCCAACTATTTGCTGGAAAAAAACAATACTATGACAATACAGTGGAGGAAAAAAAAAAAAAGGCTAATCCTGAAGCCAATGCTAAAAAATGATCACATGAGAACAGAAGATGTGTAAGGTGATTCATACCAGTGTGAGGGATGCTCTAGGAACACTTATAGACAAGAGAGTACAAACTCCTGGTTTTCCCATTTCAGGAAGGAGTAACACCCTGTGTTTTGGATGTTGTAGGAGGAAGGAACCATCAAAGAACAAGCCTAGACCCAAATTCCCAAAGTTTATCCATGCTGGGAGGAACAGACTATTCTTGCTAGTCAGTCCCACAATCACACACATGGTCCTGCAGATTAAGCGAGAAAATTAGACCTTCTCATCAGACTAAGAAACACTCAAAAAGATACTACCCCTCACAGCTTAAATCCTGTAATTTGCTTCCACGAATGGTTCAATTAGACAACAGGAGGACAGCTCCTGTTCCTGCATCCACCCAATTATTAGCTACAGTATCTCACCTGCCATTAGCAGTCACTGTTTTACTCCAGACAGCAACTGCTCCATAAAACAAAGMTTAAGAATCACAAAAACATGACACCTGTGGTGTCATGATACCCAGTCCGTTATCAAGTCCCAGATCATAATAAAAAGATGTAACACATTAAAAAGACACTAAGTCCAAAGCCTGCAAAAGCTAGGGGTTATCTAACAAGGGAGAACTTCCAAAGCATAGAGCAGCACTGGAGAAGCAGAAAGAAGTGATTATATGGAAGAAAAAGAAAACTGAGATCCACTGAGCACGTACAAGCAAGAGCAAAGACAAAAGGAGAATATGGAGTTTGTGCCTATGTTCTTAGAATATCCAGCTGGGGAACTTAAATATATTACATTTTGGCAACTCAGAGGCAAAGAGAAATAGAAAATGTTGATGCAGGAGAATCCTAAATGGGATATAAGCTGCAACTTTACCCATCAATAGCATGAGAAGGTTAAGGTGCCTAGTCTGGAACAGTGATGCTGATCACTGTCTTCACCTGGTATGTCAGACCATGTGAAACCGGGACTAGGCAACTGTTCCTGAAGTTCCTCATCAGGGAAATCTAAGTGAAATCTATTATTGGGGAAATTTCCTAAATAACTTTAGATGGACTGTTGTTTGAAAAAGTATTAATCATCACTTTGTTTTCCCCATTTGATATAGTAGGACAAATTTGCAGTGTCATAAGACCATAAGAAGGCCACTAAAAATGCCATCCCGTACATACAGATCACTTTACTACATTTAGATGAACTAAGATCCTTCACTGACTGCATTAGGCAACTTCCTAGACCACATTTTCAGACCTCAAGAATTTAGGATGTGTTTCTCTAAGTCTCTAAATAGTCTTGTGGCTAGAAGGTCTGTAACAAGCACATCAATTTCAACTTTTTTTCCCCTAAAAAAGCACAACTGTAGTAAACCACCATATACATTTACCAGCTCACCCTTTGACCCATCTCATACACACAGTACACAGGGCTAGGTTATCCCATCAAATAATAACATGGATCATTATACAAAGCAAACAGAAACCCCCAACAAAATAATTGCAAAATAGTTATCTCCAGAAAGACGCAAGCAGCATCACTTTCTAATTCCTGGCATTTCTCTGGGTCCTAGCAAGCACAGAGGGAAGGGAAGAGAGAAGGAACTGGACTCTGTGAGCGCACAGCTATGCCACACATGGGAAGCCAGAGCCCTTCCCTGCTTCCATCAAACCCAAGCTTCTCCATGGTACCATTCTGTGATTCTGTCATTCTGTCATGTTTCTCAGCAAAAGTGGCAAACTATTACAAGTTACTGTTCTGAAGGGAACAATAAGCTAGATCCTTCAGGCTGGAAAAAAATGTATGTGGGGACGTGGTAGAAGGCTACAGAGTCTGCACTGGCAGAGAGAGCACAAGGAGCAGCTGCTCCCTTCTTCTTCCTACAAGGGCTGGGAGCCTAAGAGTAAGGGAGGAGGAGTCAGGCTCCAGGAAAGCAAGTGACTGCACACAGTAGGTAATAAATCTGTTCAAGTATTTCAACAGCCAGAGGAAGCTCAAGGAGACACTGGACAAGTACGTGGAAGACTAACCAGAATCCAAAGCACAGGAAAGCCTCTGACCTGGAAATAGAGAAGTAAGCAAATGTGCTTTTCTTCTTCCTCCTCCTCATTAGGCACCGGTTTATGGCAACTGAGGTAGAACACAGGGCTAGATGGGCCCTTTATCTGAACCAGCACAGCCCCTCTCACATGTTTAAGGGAGGAGATTGAGAATTACTTTTTGACCTTCAATAAGGAAGACTACTTTTGCCCGCATTAAAAGGAGAGACAGTCCCATCTGTCGATGGGGATGTTCAATGCACTTAAAATGAGACAGATTAGCAACATTTATTTTACTTTTCATGTGTCTCCACTCTGAAAGCTGGTCCTTGCAACTCTGTTTTATTTTCCTATCACACCTAAAAAGCTTATCAAATGGCATCTTTGCATCTTAAAAACTGTTGCATGGGTTTTCATCTCCCCAATTCCCACTGGAACTTTTTTCTCAGAACCAGACCACTGCTATGGTTAGGAACCTTCCAATTTCCATCCAGATGCTTTAATCAGGGTCAGCTTTTACCCATTTGTCCCTGTGCCAACACTGTCTGCTTTTGAGCTAAGCTGCAAGCTGGCTGATACGTCAACAGCAATGGATCAATGGCCTTTAATACAATGAAGAACAAGTCAGTCTTGCATCATAAAATACCCTTTTCAATTTTGCATGCAAAAATTAATGTTACTCCAAATCTCTGAGAACTGAGCCTATGCATAAACACGTATTTTTTTTTTTCAGATTTTGTAGTAGTTTTCTAGTGGTAAATGGAAATAATAGTGAAAGTCTCCTCTCAGACTAAACATATAACACACAGAAAAATGTGCAGACTAGTAAACAGGTCTTTTATATGATTATATTCGTAATTTACACAACAAGCATAATAATAAAGAGTGAAAATAAGCTAAAAACATATGTATAAGAACGTATGTATGATTTAGCTTAAAACAAACAAATAGACAAAACAAACTTACTTCCCAATGTTTTCAGGTAGTGCTTGCAGAGAGATGTCATTTACTGAAAGACACGTTAGATTCTGTAGTTCAGGAAAGCTCTCAGGCAACCTAGGGAGATATTAATTCATATCAAGGATTTCTAGCATATATATTCACATTAAATTACTATGTTAATGCATAGAGAAAAAAGAGAATGTGTAGTAGAAAATAAAAGTCAATTTAGCAAAAATGTACTGGGAGGCATGACTAAATTCTAGCAGGTCCCTGAGAAATTCTTACTATTTATAAGCATCATAATAAGGAAAAAAAGTATATAATAATGCTGAAAGTCGCTAAAATTTCTTCTGTGTCAAAATATGGATATTAACCCTCTCTTTTGACCCCTCTAATGCACAGCGCCATTTGCAACTTAAAAATGTATTGGGCTTGGAAATGTATTCAGCATTAAAAAAAAAAGTGCTCTTATATTTTTGATTACAAAAGGTAAAAAAAGTTACTTTTTTACTGGCATTTTCTTACATTACTGAGACATCAAAATGATTAAATAAGCAATTTTTATTCATGTTTCAGTTACATACATGCTTATGGAATGGCCATTTTGTATTAGCTACCAGGTTGCTGTTGAACTGCTGGTTTGGGGTTGATTTTTTTGAAGAAGTTTGTTTATGCGCAAGGTGATATTCTATGGTTAGAGCCTTCCACCTTTACAGGTTCACAACACCCCTCAAGCATGACAACCTTCTCTCCTTACTACGGCCTAAAAATACTTCAATAATACACAACTATACTCAGTATGCCTGCTTTTTATTAAAATAAGCCTGGCATCAACTGAAAACAGCTGGAAAAACAGGCTGAGAGCAACACTTAAAACTGTGGGTTCATCGATGATCAAGTCTGACAATAAGGCAACACGGTGGCAGGACACTGACTGGGACATCATGGGGTGACTTTCACACTTAGAAGAAATAAAAGCAAGAATCAATGGCTAAAAGAAGACCCAGGATATCACATGGGAAAGGACACCACTATTAGGATTTCCCAGTCTGTCCAAACAAATGGGTGCAAATACCCTCCTGCTACAGAGGTAAGCCTGAAATTCCTGACACCAGGCAACCATGTAAACAGCTTCTGCTATCGGTGGTTTATAACTAACTAAGCTGCTTGAAGTGATGCATTCCAGGACACCCATATACTTTAGAGACATTTTATCGCAGATTTTTAAAATTCTCCTGCAATGCCGATGAGTTAAGAGGCCAGTTTCAGTTGCACTGAGAAGTCCTCGGGCTCTGTGGTTGATCCTGGCAACTGCAGCTGGGCATTAGCACTGCTGCCGAAGGGGATGTGCTGCCCGGGCCCCAGGACTTGCCCAGAGCACAAAATGSAGAGTAACAAACTACCTACTACTTGTTTGCAGCTTGTATCGGTACTGAGGGGTGAAGCTCTGTGCTCAATGTGACCCTGATCACGTTGGGAACTAACCATTAGTTCAGCTTCAGTCTGCTTTACGAGCAGTAAAAGTATTATTATGCTCCCCGTGCATATGGGCTACAGGCACACAGGGATCCAGGTCACCAGTGTCCCTTTAAAGCTTTCAGATTTGGCTTGCCGGAGACCTCAGAACGCGCCATGTTCAAAGCACAGTTCTAGACAATGCCCCGTGTGGGAGAAGCCATCTTGTGAAATGGCTGCGGCGGCTTGAGGTACCACAGACACTCAGAGGTCGGTTATTCACTGCTCAGGACTCCCTGGGCTTCCAGCGCCGCCGCAGTGAGGGGCAGGACTGCTCTGGCTGATGTGACTTGCTCAGTGTCACCAAGGCGCTCTGGGCAACAGGCCGCTTTAGAAGATGGTTCTCCACAGAGTATCCAAAGGCCTTCACTAGCAGTTCACCCCTTCTCTTACTGTCTCTAAGTCTCATTTCGCTACCTAAATTCCAAATTCTTCAGYGATGGGGCAGGGAAATGTAAGCAAACCCCCTCTTTTATAACAAATGTGCATTAAATCCCCAAACCACAGACCCTCAGAACACAACCTGGGAGCTGGAGCAGCAGCCACACACAGTGCGTTTCTGCCACATGTTCCTGCACACTAGAGTGTCCCAATTGATGGGAGACTGCTCAGACCCTCGTCCAAACTTTAATCATTAGGAAAAGCCGTTATTTGCATTGGCTGCTCTAAAGTCTACTTCAAATTGCCAGGCACCTGGCTTTGGCCCAGGGCCCTCATCGTAGCCATGGCTTTCCCTCCCACAAGTAGAGGCACCGTTTTCCACTGAATTTAAGAAGAACAGTGAAAACTACTCAAGAGAAATTTGAATTTACTTTTTATTTTTCTGGTTAGCCAACMAATTTTATCTATACCCTGTAAGATTTATATTACTTTTAAAATCAGAAATTTTGCTAAACCTCCTGCCAGAGACAGACACTTCTGGCAAGATTTCAGAGAAATCTCAGATCACATTTTTTTTTTAAGGGCTTATTTAAAATTGTAATTGTTACAATACAATTGTAATTCTGGTAYGGCAAGTACTAAGAAGGTGAAAGTTACCTAGTCAGTGGATTCCCACTGAAATCTGCTACCTGTAGTGCTTTGCAGAATGAGATGCTTTCTGGTATTTCAGGAATATCTGCAGAAGAAGAAAAAAAGAAATGATCAACAGCTGTACTGCACCTCCCCTGAAAGGATGGCCTCGTCACACTCAAGAGCTCGCTGCTGCAAGCAGTTACCTTGGTGCTATCTCAGTGCATTTCAACATGCAAGGCTGCTTCACGTGCTAGTACATAAATGAGAACAAGAACTGTTACTGGAKCATGACCATTTTGTGCCTTTTCAGACCCCATTTCCCTCTCCTGTTGGGCTGCCCTTCTTCATGATCCTGGGCTACTCACCTGTCTTTYGAGTGATGTCACTTGTGCAGCAAAAATCAGATTCAGCTGCATTCTAGGCCTGTCCACAATTGTGCTGCCAAGAAGTACACCAGGAAGGAAAACAGGAACAGAAGAGTCTCTCTTCTCTTAGTATAAACTCATGAGAACAGAACCACTCTCCCTTACAGACGAACCAGGTAACTTGAAAATGTTATTCAAATCAACAGGTCCCAAATAAGCACTAGCGCATTACTTCAGACATTAAGTAAGGCAGCAGAGATAGCTGTATGCAGAAGCAGATTTTTTTCAAGTATATGATTACACATGCACAGGCCCTGAAGTTAGACATGCTGTCGTAAGAAGAAAAAGGTTTCCTGGACCTCTTACTTCAAGTTTTATTTCCATGAGCAAGGTATGGGTCCTTTGCATAAATTCTTGTTTACTAATATCAAGACCCAGCAAGAATCAAACAAGTACATCTGGCTTCCTTGYTTAACAGCTTAAGATTTCCATGATTTATTTTGAAAGGGATTCAAAAGCAAAAGGCAAATTGTAAAATTAAAAGCACACCATCTCCCTAAGTTTCTCTTACTCTCATTTTTACTACAGAGTACCACAACCATTCCACCTCCCATCCCCATAGTTCTTTCTACAGAGAGCWCTTCAGAAAATGTCTTCTTAATGTCTTCCTCAACGCAAGGGGCACTTCAGAAGCCATCAGTGATCTACAGATGCTGAAAAATGTATTTTGTACTTGGGTCTCTTCCTGCCTACTTCAGCAACTCCAAACTGAATTCCAGATATTTCGCTKAGCTCTTCTGTGCATCACTTATGTGATGTCAACAGGGCTATGGGGTCACACTGCTCATCACCTTCCACCTCGTGCAGCTGCAGCCTGTCTGGCAACCTCAGCACATTGTTCATTTATCCTCAATGATTCCCAGCTCAGGACTGAACCTCGAGCCAGTGCAAACACCTCCCAAACGCGCCCATCACGAGGTACAAAAAGTCACCAGAAGGACGGTTGCTACAAGAGCATCTCCTGGGAAGACCTTGGGTTTCCTCAGCAATTGGCAACGAGATAAATTCACCCCAAGTGAATTTCAACCAGTTTTTCCACCATGATCTTTGGAAGCAGGCCCGAAGGTTTCAGGAGCCACCACGCTCCTACAATTAAGTTAAGGACACTTGAACAAGCAACCTATTGCCAAGTGCCATATTCCTAACAACCTCAGATGACCTCACTTCAGGAGTCTAAACCTCACAGGTTTAGCTTTGCAACAGCTAAATGACAATTTTTCCTATAAGAAAAAGAGCATCATTAACCTTGCCGGATTACATGACATGCTTAGAAGTGCTAAATTCTCACAACACATATGGAGTGCTAAAAAGCATTTTATCTGTCAGGAATAGTCCAGAAAGCTAAGCACTGAAGCACTGTAGGGACATGGCTCAGTATTACAGATCAGATGGCAATTATTTATTCCTGTATTCTTCTATATTAATTGAAGAATATTTTATATTAATAGAAGAATATATTCTTCTATATAATCTTCCTATATTAATGTAAAGGCATGCACTCCAAAAAGGCTATTTTCAGGAGTACTGATCCTATACAAAACTGAAAGCCTTCCTTACACAGAAGTATACATGGAGTCAAAACACAACCAAAATTACAGCCAGCAAAATCCGTGTTTTTACCCATCCCCGCCCTCTCTAGGAGTATTGGCTGTAGAGGACTGAATTTGCACTATGGGATTGGTGAGGACAGAAGTCCTACAGAGCTGCTTTACAGCAATAGGAAACACTTCTTTACCGAGCTCTGCTAACCAGCAAGAAGTAAAGAAGTGGGTCATCCTCTGCCTACTCTTCATCCCCTATTTCTCTGGATAACTAGCTGGAAAACAAACAGAAAAGCGAAATTACTCATACTAGTCATTTTCCCTAACAACCTGTGGTTTCATTAACCAAAAAACAGATCATCTCAGGTGAAAAGATTTTATAAGCTCTTTCAGTTGCAAGATTTGAGTACGACCTGTAAAAGCCAACAGGCAGGTTTGCTGACTGAACAAGAATTGTTCCAGTATATGATGCTCCTTTCTTTAAATCAGTGTAGGCACTGCTTGCAGGCTTGAGGCCTTTGCAAATTACAAAAATCTGTCATAAATATAAAACATTCCTTCCCAGACTATTTATTCCAGATTACAAAAATCACGAGATGGTCAAAAGTCCTCGATAAGAAATCGGAACAGATACAAGCCTAGGAAAGGAGATTCCATTTCTGTGTTCAGCCTTTGCACACTGAGTGCCTTTTCCTCGCCAAATTAATAATTTCACTATTCACTTTTCTAATCCACCTAGACAAAGTCCTGAGAGAAGTTCAGGGCCAGTCTGCAAAATGAGGATATTTGTCCTTTCAGAAAGTTAAATAAGGCAGAGCTGTATGGCATCTAGAAAGGTCTCTCAGGTAAAACACAAATTGGAGCAGATCCTTAAACGTCACATGTGAAGCCTACTGAAACACTGTCGTGAATAAACAATCTCAGAAGAGGAAAAGCAAGGTACATTTAAGTATTTGACAAAAATCCCAAGTAATTATTATAGTAGAGGAGATTAGGTCAGTGCGGCTGTTAGGAACCATTATCAGCAGAAATGCAACATGTGCARAAGGCTGTTCAAAATAAAGAAGCCCTCCTGTACTCTGATGCAGCCTCTGCCGTTTTTGCTCGCTCCTTGATTCTGTCACAGCCATCAGCACAAACGGCCCTGCTAATATTAGCAGCACTGAGGTGGACCATTGTCCTCGCCACTGCTGGAAAAGCAACTCAAATCCTGCTGAAACACCCAGGCCGCTGCTGATGCTGCGCACCCATGAGCGGCCAGCCCAGCTGTTCGGGCCCCGGCGCCGTGCCGTGTGACGACAGGAGCGCCCGGGCGGCGGGAAGCAGCGGTGCCAGCGGGAGCAGATCCCGGACGAGCCGGGCGACCACGTGCGTGGCAGGGTTCCTGTTTGCTTTTCCACTGCAAGATGCCTCTTCTCATGTTTATTGTTCTGGTTTGCACAAGAGCGGGTGATTAAAGCTAACAGCGCAGCGGGCCACGTAAAGTGGCTTAGGAGGCACGTCTGACCSTAGGGAATTCTGTCAATTCTTTGTTTGTAAAGGGAATTCTGTAATGTCTGAGTGGGAACTTTTTTTGTTAAAGATTTTAACAAAAGTGACATCTTTCAATGCCCTTTCCTGCCTTTACATCTTCTGATATCTGGCAAAGAGGTAGAAAAGACCACTTTAAGAGCAATAAAACATTTTATATACCAKATTTTGCAGCATTTGATAACAAATTTCAAGAAGTGGTGATATTCTTTTGCATACCCAAAGCCTACCCTGTAATTCATTTCCAGTATCCAGTCTATACCAAGAGTGCAACGGCCGGGAGATCCTGGCCTGCACCAAGGCTTATAGATGAGCACTGCTCAAACCGAGGACGGCAGCTCAAAGCCCAAGTGTCTCTGCAAGAGCCTTGCTGAAGTTTCAAACASGAGAGATTCGCCCCGATCTGAGCGGCTCGAGGCGGGTTACAGCGGTAGAGAGGCTTCAGGGCAGCAATGACTGCAGACACTCGTATTCTGCAGCCGTGAAGAAGGCAACACGGACACTCCAGTGCTTCGGGAGGGCTAATGTGGGCACACTGTGTGCACTGCACCAAAAGGGWACTAACAGTCTCATCTAGATAGTCACGACAACGGGTTCTTGACCAGCTACATACAATATTGCCCTAACACTTTCATTTACTCAGCACTGGAAATTTACTATTAAGCAGTTGATAAATTTACGCCCAACTTACACCCCCTAGCCCAGGCCAGACTCAAGGTGAGTGAATCCAAGCAGCGTTACCCCTCAGAGGGAGGCAGAGAGCAGGCAGATCTCATCCATGAACTCCATACACCAAGTTTTCCCCTGCATTTCCCATATATACTATACTACATGCTGTACAGTACACCAAATGAACACACCAGTGGCCTGGCCAGACCATCAAACCGTTAAGCACTGCAGTGAGTGAAGGATCAGGGAGGTTCTCCTCCTATTTCCAAGGAGGCTCTCGCTTCCCTTGCCTGGGAAGCCCAGCTGGACACCTGCCTTGGAASAACTCTTCCCTCCTCTGTCCCTCCACAGCCTTCCAGCCTTGGCACAGAGAGCTCTCCACGTAGTCATAATACCTCGAGGTGAGGAGTTTGTGCTGCAGATATTGATTTGCCTTCGCAAAGGGCTCTTCAGCTGAGAAGCTCCTTGAGCCAGTGGCATCAGGTCCCTCCTGCACCCACAGGGAGCTCCCAGACCCTCTTCATGGGGAGGAATGGAGGGAGCAGAGTCCCCTACTCCATCTCCACATTAAGGTGACAAAACACAGAGCAATCTGACAAGCTTGAAGGTTTTACTGCTAGGCCACAGGCTGAAATAATCAATGGCCTTCAATAAAGTGTYGCAGTCTCTGGGATGGAGGGTGGCAGGAGTCACTCTGTTCCTGCAAAGTGTATGGAGACTAAGTGCTCTCACCCAGGCATCGCGTTTCCCTCCTCCAGCTCTCAAACTGAGGATACACAAAATACAAAAGGACTTGACAAAACACAAAAGATGCTCTAAGAAGCATCATCTTTACAGCTTTATGGAAAGTCCACAAACAGATTCAGGTTTTATTTTGCAGGCAAATCCCTTGCTGTATAATGAACAAGAAACTGAAGCCAGGTGAGCACACCCTGTGC